GGTTAGCTAGCAAAAAATTCTGACTTATACAGATGTATTAGTGACATATTGTTGTATATTGTATTGTATATTGTATATTGTATTGTATTGTATTGGTGGGGGAAATGGATGTGTTCGATGTACCTGAAAAAGAAGATTCTGTGGCTACAGAATTGGTAAGACTATCAGGTGGAATGGGAATGAGGTGGGTCACGCGTAGTAATAAGATGGACAAACACAACAATTGTAGTGTTTCGTGATGCTCTCTCCCACCTGATCAAATACCTGTGGAGGTGACTTTCCATAAAAGGTAAGGTTCCTCATTCATAAATTAGTTTGCTGTAGGAAAGTTAGGCGAAAGTTTCAACTTCGTAACCGTTTTTTCGCGGCGGCTCGCAATGCGAATGCTAACAGCTAAAAATTAGTTATTTTTGAGCTCCCATTTTTTCTGATATTTTGTTTCCTCCAACCGCTACTGCATAAATGAATTTATTACCGATCAATATCCTCTATAATGAGTCTGTCGGAGTTGGGTCAGCACTCAGCTCAGCTAACTGAGCGAGGTCCACCCAGAGGCAGGTTACAGGCAGAGTCAACCCTGCGTTGCGCAGTTTTCAACGGCCACGTTGCGCAGTTTCGCCCGATTAGACACGTTCTCTCGCGCGAACATTCACACTCGCATGCTCGAGCCGTCTGCGTCTCCGCCCATAGGCCGGACGCATAGTCGGTCGGACGACAGCAACGACTGCAAGTGTCGCACAGCATTGGGTGCGTATCGATCTGCGACACTTGCGACACTTACGACCGCTGCTGTCGGACGACAGCAACGACCGCAAGTGTCGCAGATCAATACGCAGCTACTATTCCACACTACAGTGGGACTTTCGAAATACGATCACGCGCAGTCACGTGTTGTCTGGGTTTGCATTGGGTGACCGCGTCGCCTTCCATTTGCGACCGCGGTTTATGCGACACACCTTGCGGTCGTTGCTGTCGTCCGACAGCAGCAGTCGTTGCTGTCGTCCGACCGACTATGCGTCCGGCCTACAGCGTGCGTTGAGGACTCTCAACGTGCCGTTGCGAACTGCGAAACGCAGGGTTGACTCTGGTTACAGGGTGGTGCGAGATAACCACGGCGAGGAGGTGTGAGAGGTCAATCGTGACTCAAGGTGCACACCCGACGAAAGACGATCGGACGATCGACCATGCATGCGCCCTCTTAGCGCGCAAGGCGTAGCCACCATGTTTGAAACGGCCACGCGGCAACGCGATTGTAGCGGCCTCTGAGACTGAGCCTTGCAGAGGGAATCCGGGCAAATGAGAGCTGCTCACACTCCGGATTTCTTCTTTCCTCGAGGCTCAGTCATCGGCTTAGACATAGCTGTCTTAAGTTGGTACTGGGTGGTTTGCGCAGAGCGGAGACGAAAAGAGCGTGGAGAGTCTCCTGGGGCCGTATGCAACAAGCCCCGAAGGTCTTCGGGGATATATCCCCGAAGTCGTATGCAACAAGCCCCGACGGTTTCGGGGATATATCCCCGAAGATCGTATGCAACAAGCCCCGACGATCGTCGGGGACATATCCCCGAACTCGTATGCAACAAGCCCCGACGCATCGTCGGGGACATATCCCCGAAGTCGTATGCAACAAGCCCGATCGTCGGGCACATCAGCAAAGCCCCGACGATCGTCGGGGACATATCCCCGAAGTCGTATGCAACAAGCCCCGACGATCGTCGGGGACATATCCCCGAAGTCGTATGCAACAAGCCCCGACGATCGTCGGGGACATATCCCCGAAGTCGTATGCAACAAGCCCCGACGATCGTCGGGGACATATCCCCGACGACCTTCGGGGCTTGTTGCATAGGGTCGTCGGGGAGGATTCGTCGGGGATGAATCCCCCTAGTCTCGACTAGGGGGATTCATCCCCGACGGCCTCCAAACGTACGTGTTACTTGAGCTAACTCAGTGGTCAGTCAGTTGGACTGTCGACGCGTAAGCGTTGCGGTCCAGCCGACCTCGGTGATGAAACGATTTTACGTATATATCCCACCCTGCGCCGGTGCAATTGCGTACCGCAAGCGATTACAGTACGCCCACGCCTAGTTCTACTGGCGTTGACATTTGTAACTGATGATCACAGGCGGGGCTCGTGATGAAAGGAAATGGGAAGGCTAATCAATTCATAACTAGCACAGCTCCGAATATTGTACTGAGTTGAGCCATGCATTTCTCCTTTCAGATAGGTGACGGGTACCGAGAGATGCTCTACATATCGTTGGAAAACCATTGCGCGCTTGGAAACCACTCTAATTCCTTATGTCATTTTCTTCTTAACATGCAAAATAGGGTAATGTGCTAGGGTATTTATAATTGTTCCGCACTAGAACAATCATTGATGTCATTATGCATTGTACTATTAGGTACCGGATATCTTAGTGTCGCTTTTCTGAGTTCAGGAAGTTTTGGGGCCGATTACTATGGAAAATCAATATCCCAGAAGGCAGTTTTTGCTCATTAATATTGCGAAATATGTTGCTTACCGTCTTCTATTGTTGGTTCACAATTTAACTTTCCCCCAATTTTTATACTTTCTTCTGAAAATTCCTGGGTCCAGTGTGCAAATTCGCATGTGTGTACCAAATGCATCAAAATTCTTGCTGAGAGCTGTAACCTCCGCCCACCAAACCAGCATTGCATTTGATGGAGGGAATACTACCATTTAAAATGCTCATCGGTTTTTCACAGTTTTCTTAAAAGACAGTAAAGTCTTTGAAGGGATGCCCGCAACCGTCGCCAAAAAGGTGGTCCTAGCTAAATCAGTCAAAACGGGGCTGCACCAGTCTTGTGCTGGAATGGTAGGACACCCTAGCAGTTACTGATCGATGGTGCACAGACGCTCTAACGAAGTTGATTGACCAAGAAATTCTAATAAATGTGCTCATCTGCTACTCACGTGTGCTCAAAAAGGGTGCGTTTTTGACCCGTGGCAAAAAAGACTCCGGGAAAAATTGTCCAGTTGAGCTGGTAAGTAATAAATTTTCCACCAAACAGTGCAGACCCTACTCTAACTAAATGTATACATATTTTGTCCAGGCCCAACTGTTTAGCAAGTGAGAGGGATGATTTGTCAGATGATGTCAAATTCGACCTACCTCTCTTTTTCGACTCAAAAAATTCCTAGCTTTAATCGTACGAGGTTTTCACTCATACTGGTAAATGGGAAAGGCTAATGAGTCATTCGATGGATATGCCGTTTCACTCCCCGGATTCTGAATTAAAATATTGGTGGTCCGAAACTCGCGGTGAAAAAACGACACTAAGATATCCGGTACCTAATAGTACAGTGAGGGACTCGAAGGGACGAAGTTTACTTGGCACCTGAGGGAAGAGAGAGTTCTAATTCGTGAGGTAGTTTTCATCATGAACTGCTTAGTAGTTGCGTCTCACGGCCACCTTGTTTTCGAGTTGTAGTTGATTTATTAGCACTTGTAGATATTTCCATAGACATAGAAATCTGATACGGAGGTATCCTTGTGAGGATGACTTGTGCTGAAAGTGAGAGCGCATACTTGTAGATGATAGGCACGGGATATGTTCATTCTTTCTGTAAAAGATGCCGTAAAATGTAATTCAGTTCCATTGGAGATAATCCGCTTACAGGAGCGTTTGCGTTACCGTTGCGAATCAATTTCTTGAGGCGCTAGTGTACTCAAAAGGGGCATGCTCCACGCTGACTGAGCCTTGGAGAAGAGGGTGAACTTTGAGGGTAATGAAAACTGCTTACACATCCCCCTAGACTCACAGCCTAGTACTAGGGGGACCAGCAGGGGGGGGAGGAGCATGATGACTTGGCGCTTTTATTCGCCAACCTTGTGTGGGATTTTACAGCTTCTGCGTTGGAAGATAATAGCAGTTCTTTACGTAAGCTGTGAGCAAAAGCTTAACTATTGCGCTATAAATGGGAAAACTGTTCTCCACGATTCCAATCATTTTGCATTAAATGTTATGTTCAGTGTTCGCTTCCACTTTTGCTGGATAGGAGATAGGAATTTTTTATATCCACTACCACAAATATTCACTGCTGACGTCTCGAAGATATATGCAAAAAACTGCTAGACTAGATATAAGTCATCTAGTCTTATTATTTCCTCTCATCACAAGTTCTACCCGTAGTTATTCAATCGAAAACAGGGTGCCAACGATAGCGGAACTAGCCGTGAGAGTACTGTAATCGCTTGCGGTACGCAATTGCACCGGCGCAGGGTGGGATATATACGTAAAATCGTTTCATCACCGAGGTCGGCTGGACCGCAACGCTTACGCGTCGACAGTCCAACTGACTGACCACTGAGTTAGCTCAAGTAACACGTACGTTTGGAGGCCGTCGGGGATGAATCCCCCTAGTCGAGACTAGGGGGATTCATCCCCGACGAATCCTCCCCGACGACCCTATGCAACAAGCCCCGAAGGTCGTCGGGGATATGTCCCCGACGATCGTCGGGGCTTGTTGCATACGACTTCGGGGATATGTCCCCGACGATCGTCGGGGCTTGTTGCATACGACTTCGGGGATATGTCCCCGACGATCGTCGGGGCTTGTTGCATACGACTTCGGGGATATGTCCCCGACGATCGTCGGGGCTTGTTGCATACGACTTCGGGGATATGTCCCCGACGATCGTCGGGGCTTGTTGCATACGACTTCGGGGATATGTCCCCGACGATCGTCGGGGCTTGTTGCATACGGCTTCGGGGATATCCAACCCGAGTTTCACCAAAGAATAGCCTCAGACAGCATTACAACATACCTTTTTACTGCCCATTTAACAACTTCGGCAGGAACTGCGCACAGGTCGTGACTGCAGACAACTATCTGGGATAGGTCGGCAACCTTGTAAAGAGTCTTCTTGTCCAGTGTTTTCATGACCTTAAACATGAAATACGAGTAACATTATTAACTTCCATTATTCATAAGATTCCTTTCACTTACTAAGGAAAGTATAACTTAGGATAACATTCACCTCTGTTACACAGGGCAAGTCATAAATTTTTGCACTCATGATATGGGTTCCAATTCGGACATTCGCATGTCGCATATCCGTAGAGGTGAACTGGATCGCGAGGTCATCAACCTCCTTTCCATGATTATCCACAAGCATCGCATCGACCTTAATTCCGACGCCGAGCATTCCAAAGAAGAAACACATAAACACAAAAAATAGTGGAGAAAATCACTTCTTTTTTCGAAAAGATAGCTCCCAACGAGTATGTAACCATATAAGCGGCAAGCTACAACATCGATTGTAACTGCTGGACAGATTTCAGTAAATCACAGAGGAACTACTCTGTCTAGTGGTTTTCTAACGTGAACTAATTTCGTCACTCCACGAAACCGCAACCGGAACTTTTCTCGACGGTCTCTCACAGCCACATTACCGTTATTGAAAGAGACATGGGAAGTGTTCGACACAGGTACAATGACAACTCGATCGATCATCTATTGCACTCTTATCACGGGCCATGCAACACTATACCCGAGAACTGTGAATAGGAGGAGGAGGCCATCACCAAATCTTCAGCCATAGCGATATCAAAGAACTCAACATAGTGCAGCGAAAATTTTGACCATATTTTTGACCGGTGTAATAGTCAAAGAGGAGCAGGGTAGTGGCTGGGCGCTGGACATCCGACGCTAGTTTTCGTCGCACACGACTATTCCTATCATGCGCGAGAGCTATTTTGAAAATAATGGTCCCAAGAAAGTAAGACAGGGTTCTGACTGTTCAAGCTTTGTGGTAGTAGTACTCAGTGGCTGCATTCTGCATGTAGTTATTTCAGCCTACGCTGGCGGATAACGTTCCTACCAGGGTTAACCGTCCGTTGCATTGTTCAACCAGGGGTTCGTATACGGTTAGATTCTTACAGTGCGTTTCATTGGTATACGTCCACCCCTGATTTTACCAAAAACGTTTCTTGAAGACTTTGCCCAATTTAGCAGCATACATTATCGGATTCACTGTGTTAGAAAACTACGAAAAGCACGTTCTCAAAGAAGTAAGATTACGGGGAAATTTTTTAGAAGTACTTCTTCGATTTTCGACCGTTTCATAATATACGTCCACTCTTAGTATATTTCTCCGAAATAAACTTTTCCTGATCCAACCGAAGTGCGTGTTGTACCAGATGTAGAACCGACTAGTCTTCTCGCGATGCCCGTGGTCTCCGTCTTTCTGTAGAGGAAAAGACTCGATTTCGGGCTCTCCATGATGGCGGACTCAGGCATCGGCAAACCACCAGACAAATCGACAGGATTCACTGCTTGCTTTGCTTTCATCTCAGAGATTCTGAAGGCTACCTCGACGGCGAAACTCCTAGACGCCAACGCAAGCTATCCGTCAGAGATTAACGAGAAATTTGGAGGAAAGTTTCCAGCAACACATGCAGCATCAACCAAATCCGTGCAGATTTGTAGGTGTTTGTCTCGAAATCCACCGTAGTGAGGGCTATCAAATGGAGCGGTGACATTGTGAGAGAATTTATGAGCAAGACCCACATCTAACCGGAGCACTCGAGTTGGCTCGTCTTGGTTTTACTCGAAAGGACGCTGCAACGGATTGAACCAAAGGTGCAGCTGTAAAACTGGCGCAGTTTCTGCACTGTAGAGTCTTTCAAATTCTTTGAATAGTCTTCTCCGACGAAAAGAATCATAACCCGGGCGCACACGGTAATGTCAGATGTAACTGGGGTGATCTGAAGAAAGACCCAGTGCAGATCAGCAAGCGCAGGTTTGGTATCGGTTCGCTGATAGTTTGAGGGGTTTCGTGGGACAGGAAGCTGGAGCTCGCATTTGTTTTTTACCGAATGGACTGGCAAGAGCTTTGGGATCAAACAAAACTTGCTGCGCTGTTCCTTAGAATGCCTGCGCCGTATAAATAGCTAAGTTTTTTAGCAGGACAGTGCAAGTGTCCATGCTTACAGGTCAACGTCTGCGTGGTTCTAACGACAGAAAGTGGTCGTTATGGAGCGGCCTGCACGCAGTGCCTGATCTGAACTCCACAGAAACTTTGGGGTGTAATTGTGCAACAGGTTCACGACAACAAAAGGCGGTTTTCCAACTTCTACACAATGAAAAGGCGATCATGGACGGGTGCTGCAGCATCGGCCCTTCAATCCTCGGCAGTTCAACAGTGAGTATGTCACATTGACTCATAGAGCTGCCATTCGAACAGAGAGCACCAATTGACAACTTATTTTCATTGAGCACTTTCTGACTTTGCATAAATAAACAGAAATTCAAAGTGGACGTATACTATGAAACGGTCAAAAAACGAAAAAATGCTTCTAAAAAATTTCGCCATAGACTTGCCTGTCTGAAAACATGTGTTCCGTAGTTTTCCTGGACAACGAATCCGATAATGTATGCTGCTAAATTGGGCCAGTCCTTCAAGAAACGTTTTCGGTAAAATCAGGGGTGGACGTATACCAATGAAACGCACTGTAGTGTAATCAATCCACAAATTTCCTGAATTATGAATTTTCGAGCTTAACGTACTTTCCACGAAATTCGATGGAAAAATTGGCATCACCCATACCGCATCCCATCGCACTCGCTCACCCTTGGGAATATGAACGTCAGCACGTAGTCAAGTCTTTCTTACGAAGTGGCACTTTATTGCTGCACCTGGATAAATGATCACTGAGGGTGAGGGAAGTTCAAGATTCACACTTCTGCCTACTTCACACCTCTGCCTCGCACCTCGGCAGGCGTGCCTGTGGGATACCATCACTTAATTGGTTGAGCTGCCTCGTGACCTTTCCTAACGATGTCAAGTACCCGAAAAAAAAACGAGACAAACCACCGACCAGGGCAAGAACTTATAATACTAACGAAATAACTGCAATGATTACATTTGCATTTTAGATATAAATTATGCGAAATTCAGATTGCCGCCGCATTGGTCATGATTCTCGATAGCCGAAAGCATGGCGATCGCTATGGGGGAATGGTGAACGTAAAATCCAGTAGGAAAGCTAGTGTCTAAGAAAACGTAGTAGTAGAACACATTGTCTATTTTTAGACTCATCCCCGTTCCTTCAAACCTTCCCAAGAGTATTTATGTTGAGTACATGTGGCTAAAGATCGCAGTCCTGGATTTACGCGTGCAGCAGTAAACGATCACAATCTTGGCTCCCTAACAGAAAATTTGCCGCAGGCTGTTCATGTTTCAATTCCACGGACTCGGATATTGCCTTTGCGAAAACCGTTGTTTGTTAAAAAAAAACCAAAGTTCAGGATCAAGCAGTTGGGCGGTTGACGTCCCAGAAGCTCAGAAAAAATCAATGTGGAAAAGTATTTGTGGGTTTGTGACTTTGTGATCAGGTTCAGTAGTTTTTCGGCCCCTAGCTTTTTACAATGCTCCCCCTTTTTTCATAAGACGATATCAAAAAAAGACATCATCTTTCGAAGGTTGGAGGGTTGCGTGTGTAGGAAAATTGAAGGATTGAAAGCCCGTCTCTTCTCAAAATCGGACCACAAACCCCCGAAAACGACAAACAGTCTATTTCCAGAGGCGATCATTTTCCAAGGTAGTTTCGAACATTCCAAGTAACTCAGTACCTCTTCTTTCTTTGTTTTGATGCATACTGGAATGTTGCAATAACTTGATTCGAAAATTATTAATGCCCGAAAGTTGAAAACTTCCATGCACTCGAAAAACTTTCAAGCGGCTCCCCCACTTTCTTCACGATTTGGGGCGCGGCCGCGGCGAGCGCGGCCGAGTCGATAGTGCCCGCGAACTGTGTGGGTAAATTTGAAAACGCATCACCACCACAGTTCGCGGGCACTATCGACTCGTCCGCGCTCGCCGCGGCCGCGCCCCAAATCGTGAAGAAAGTATGGGGGAGCCTTTCAGCAATTAAATTTTGGCGTACGTTTCACACCTTAGCTTATGTGCTTTTTTCAAGATTTATATATTTCATTTAAAAAATTCTACTCGCCCCTTGTTTTTACATCATTATAATAAAACTCGAAAGGAGATATTTGGGTTCATGATAAATAATGCACCGTCGATTTCAAATTCACCATCTTTTTTTGAAATCCATGTGTCAGAGCTCTTCATATAAATACACTATATCTATATATAGCTATTTCATTACTATTACTATTGTGAGCCTGCCCCGATAAAATTTATTTCATCTATTTCGATGTAATTGGCATCGTTAGGGAAAGGTCACAGGGCACCTCAACCAATTAAAGCAACAATCCAGGAACGAATTCGCGGGTAAGGACCACCTATAATGACGTTGCAGGTGAGAAGTTGGTCAATGGAGAAAGAAAAAGTAGAAAAAAACGTCGGGCAGGGGCTTAGACAGGGACTCCCCCGCCGTTTAGGGAGATGTGTGTTGGACGAGTTGTCCGAACCTGCCCGTAGTACATGCGCTCCAGTTGACTGCTGGCAAATAGCCATGCATGCTTGCAAATACATAACTATTTGCCAGCAATCGAAATTGAAGCGCTTCAATTGGGTTCTTATGGAATCGACCTCATACAGCGCGGCGGTCCCGCAACGACCGCTAGTCGAGCAAGCGCTCTGCACAGCGAATGTTGGGCGATCCGCCTCTTTATGGGTGATCCGCCCCCTCCAAGAGGACTTCGACCCCTTCCAGCGCATTTTAGAGGTAGGTTTTGAAATTAAAGACATTTCCTATAAACTTTAGTTGGGCTGGGGCATGTTTTGACCGCCTAATGACCAAGTAGTTGAAACCCTGCCTGGACTGTTGCTTTAAGCGAGGGTACGCCACTGGCAAGCCTGCCGAGGTGCGAGGCAGAGGTGTGAAGTAGGCATAAGTGTGAATCTTGAACTAAAGACACAGACCCGATCACTGATATTGTACCATACGGTATCGGGTCATCAGAAGCCGCAGCCTAAAGTTCCCCAGGATAAGGGAACAAAACAGTCCTTTGAATTTCTTCGTTTCCAACAAAACAGTTTCCGTACGTTATGAAGATGATTGCTTTTACACACTTGTACACATTACAAATATGCATCTTCCTAATTTAGAGAGATTATTTTTTTCCCTAGCCTGGGAAAGATTGATAAGGCCTCAGGTCTGTGCATGCTTCCGAAGTTGTACACACCATCAAAAAAAAAGGATCGACTGCATCACAGGGCGTTTGAGAATCGGAACT